GCCAATCACAAAGAAGAAAGAAATTGGAGAGGGATTCTGGGCTATTTTGCTCTGATATGATATAGCCAGTGGAAGGAATATGGTCCATGGAAATCAGACTGGGGTCTTTTGATAACCTGAAAATAGTACATTTATGTAGGAACCAACACATGGCTCAGCAAGTAACTTTAGTCCCCAAAAGATGGCAGCTAATGGATTATCCTCCAGGGAGCCACACAACTAATGCCCATTGTGATGCTGAGAAGGTGACCGGGAGTCTTGTGTTCCTCCATGAGACTAACTTGAGGGATTGCTTCCTTGTCTCTTCCTTTAGAAACAGCACAGATAAAAGCAGAGAATTATTGGGTAAAAAGATCTCATTCAGCTCAGGTAGTGTTGTCCAAATGTAATGAGTTGGCTGGCTTGATGAATCGAAGGACAGCTTCCCCAGATCTACCTGGGAATCTGCTCATCTCACAAGCCCACAGCCAGAAGCAGTTTAACCCAGGGCCTAGACAGAATATCACTCAAGAGCTTGATATAGATTGCTCTACCACTCAATACAGGTGGTGACATAGCCTGTATACATCTGTTTCCTCTTCTGTTGAAAGCAGTTATAAATATACCTTATTGTTATTGCTATTATTTAAAAAAAAAAACTTTGTATTTATTTATGCAAACAGAACTGGGGGTACAGGCCAGAGGTGTGGGGGTGGGGTGTGGTGAACAGATTCACCAGAGACAGAGTAAAAAGCAGAACAGGCACTGAAATGCACTGCTGAGGGGAGCAGCAGGGGTCAGGAGAGATCTGCTGGGCCATGTGGCTCACCTCTGGGGCTGGGGATCAAATTCCCACTGAAGCAGCTGTGGCTAGCTTGCGGTGCTGCGCCCTAACCCATTGTGCCACCAGGGAGGGCCGTTGCTATTATTAAAGATAGTAGGAGTAGCATATTAGTAGTGGTGGCAATTACCCTTATAACTACACATTAGAGCAGTAATCATAGCAGGTCAGTGTCGCTTGTACCCATCTCTAGGACAGTGAAGTTAA